TAAGTCAGTATACTAAGCGAAATTAGCCTTTTAAATTAACCACGGGAATAACTGCCTACTTACAAATTTTAAGTACAGTGATTTCCACAATCTTCCCTATTTTGTACTTTGTTAACCTTTTTTCTAATTGGTGTTGTTGGTTCCACTAGAAAATGTACTTCAATGACCTCGCCCGAGGGTAGGGCACACTCTCACTACATACATGCGTTCGCCGTTGGTCGGGCGGGGGGTTAGCGATGATATAACAGCCTACTTCAGTGTCTTCTCCCAAGGTTTGAGCACGCGACCCAACTTGTCCTCGTAACCTTTTATCTTACAGAAATATTGCGATCTAATTAGTTCCCGGACATGCCCCGCCCGTCATCTCCCCTAAAAACAGGTTGACCGTGAGCCTGAAAGGCGCGCTTCACACGTTCCCCAAGGAATCCCTACCGTCCCCAGTCCTCTACGATGAGTTTCAGCAGAACCTCTAATAACTATTATGACCAATAATAGCGAAAATGCGCGTCCCAGGAAGTAAGTGAGAAGATGATTCGATCGCGTCAGATAATGAAACGGAGAAGACCCACTGCCACGGCAAAAAACATCTGGAGTCGTCTACAGGATCTGGTGCAGTTGCGAGCAAAGCAAGTATGTCGGAGAAACTGGCAGGCTTCTCAAGACGCGATTTGCCGAACACGCGTCAGCAGTGCGGCGAAATCATGCCAATTCTCGAGTTGCGGCTCAGCGAACAAGTGGCAGCAGTGCGGCGAAATGATGCCAATTCTCAAGTTGCGGCTTATTTGACGGAATCCATCCGTCAAAGCAAATTGCCACTTGTCAAGTTGCGGCTCATTCGACGAGACCCGGTCATACGTTCATATTTGATGAGGCCGAAATTCTCGCAAGAGGTGACAATCGGGTGAGCCGAGAATTACTTGAATCATGTTTCACGGGCCCCCAATCCGTAAACTAGTGCAACGATTTTCTAATTCCATATTCGGTGTTGAGACTCAATTTGGCCAAAGCAAGTCGCCGCTCGGGGAACAGACAGGCCACCGCGCCATCCTACACTAAAACTACTTCTAGTTGCTGATGTGGCCAATCGGCACTCACGCCATACAGTTATCGATTTTTTCTAAACGTTTAAATTTTAACTGTTTTACACTGCAGACTCCGGTGCATACGCTTCCTGCATCTGCTAAGGCTCTTTGATTATGTCTCTGATGACGAG